GGGGGGGGGGGGGCTAAATAGAGGATTTACGGTATGCTAAATCTGGAGTTGATTTCGATTTAATGAAAACAAAAGCAACTTACCAAGGAACCTTGAGACCCCGGATGCATGGGACTCTGAACCATTGGAGTACTTGTGCCTGGCGCCCTGCAACCACATCATTACAGTTAGAATATAACGATGGCGAGGGTTGTGAGAGTTAGATTGTGCAGCTAACAGAGTTGATTTTAACTTTAATGTTATAGATACCCTGACAACCTCTGGGCTGATATCAGGGCACGGTTAACTCACAGATCAAATTGGAATTTAAGGCGCGATTACACGGAACRATTTTCTCTGCAACTTGTCTCTCAACAAAGAGTTGCAAGAGTGTTTACACGGTGGAACCAGTATGACTGCTTTTAGCAACGATTACGAAAACTTGTCTCGAAATTGCCCAAAGAAAAACCAAACCAAACCAAAGAACCGAGAGAAAAACCCTGTAATAAGGGAGAGACCTTATATGCTCCACTCACATGTGATGGCGAGTCTAGAAATCAAACGCGACACCCCAGAGATGAGAGGTGAGTGCGATACAGCTATGAGAGCCATCATTTTACATTATTGTTGCGGCACGAAATTGGCAACCTCGTCCCACAACGATCACGGCACGGTACAAATAAATCAATGCTCTAATTTCACTAAGCAGCCTAAGTACTTTCCGTCCTTCATCAGTGCCTGTATATCTTCTAATGCGTTTACCACTCCTGGGCTTAATGCCTAACAGGATTTGCAACCCACTTTATGAGGCAGCCTAAAAATCGAATTAGAATTTAGAAGTTGATTCTCGATGAGGGAGGAAAACCGGAGAACCCGGAGGGAAAACCCTTGAAGCACAGGAGAGAACCAACAAACAACTCTGACTAGTCACATACGACACGGTGCCAGGCAGGGCTTAAATCCGGGTTGCATTGGTGAGAGGCTGCTTATTAGCAGCACATGCATTCCCATTAAGAAATATAGGTCGAATAAAAACTTACCCCAGAACTCTAGTAGCGAGTACAGTGTCGCGATACTCCCCAGGAGCCAGTAACGTGGCGCTTTCATCCTGACTGTAATAACGATTGAACGCATGATCCTTGTGTTGCCCCGGGTACAAGATGACAAGCGAGTCTAGATCTTTGATTCTATCGGAAAACTTCCTCATTGACAGATGCTGATTGGTCCAGGGAGACAAATTCCACACCTCTTTTTCTCCTGGAAAACATCGATCAATCAATAGAGTCGTCTTATCACAGGTAGCCCAAGCTTTGTTTTTAGGAGCCATTTTATACAGTAAATAGAGGGTTCTGATTTTAAGATTTCTCAAGATATTTTAAATAAAATTTAACAGAACTACCAGCTGAGATCGTCTTGACATTTGTCTTGACTGTGCGTTAACTGAATTGCAGCGCTTTTCAGTAACTCGAGAGGAGAGAAAACAATACGACTCACTGAAAAGGAACTGAATCTCGGTCCACACATGGTAATAATAACCAATCTTTATTCAGGAATGCCTACGTCACATAAGTGTTTTAAAGTAGGGTCCTGCAAAACATGATGATAATGTTGATGATGATGATGATGTTGATGATGATGGTGTTGATGATGACTGTGTTGATGATGATGTGTTGATGATGATGATGATGACTGTGTTGATGATGATGTTGATGATGATGGTGTTGATGATGACTGTGTTGATGATGATGATGTTGATGATGATGGTATTGATGATGATGGTATTAATGATGCTGACAACGTTGTTGTTGAGGATTATAGTGTTGATGATGACAACGATGTTAATGATCTTGATGTTCATGTTGACGATGCTGCTACTGTTGATGGTGATGGTAGTGTTGATGATGATGGTGATGTTGCTGATGATGTTAATAATGATGGTGTTAATGATGTTGACGATGATGGTGTTGACGATAGTGTTGATGATGATGATGCTGATGCTGATGATAGTGTTGACGGTGGTGGTGATGATGATGATGATGTTGTTGTTAATGATATTGATGCTGCTGCTAATGAAGTTAATGATGATGTAGAAGATGCTGTTGACGATGCTGAGGCTAACCGTAAATACCTGTTGGGTGTTGGATCGTGTAGGCAATAGTCACTCCACCAAGCTCACTGTCACTAAATCGCACTAAGAAGGTCCCAGGTTGAAGGTTGATTAACATGTCTTGTGCTTCTTGCTTGTTAATGAACCCATGAATTACCCTGTGTTATCAATAAATTGCATTACACCAAAATTATCTTGTATAGGTAGTGAAGGGACCACCGAGGCATGCCCATCCCCCCACGTTTTAACCCAAAAGTGATTTTCTGTTAAGAGTTTCCTTTAAGAGGTAGTCCTTGGCGTTTCACTGGTATCGCAAAGCTCATGGGTTCAAATCCTGTTTTTTTTGGCTTCCAATTATTACTTACAACAGTATAAGGTCGTATTGGCTTTGATAACTATGTCTCTGATGCAATAAATATGGAACAATTGCCCCTCAAAAACGAGGCATTGCAAGTCGGATTTCTAATAGCCTCAATTTCAAAGTTTTCAGGGGGTGGGGGCATTCCGACCCCCCCCCCCAGATTAGCCACGAACTCAAAACTATGCTCCAAGGGATCCATGGATAGATGAGTATATATATTACATAAGCACTTACCCATCTCGCCATTCGTCCAACATGTTCTTTTTCACCACGTCAAGAATGCTAAAGAACCATTTCCAGAAAGTAAAGTTTCTTCCATGAAGATGTTCCTTAAACAAAAGTAGAACAAGACAAAAACCTTTTGAGTAAATTTTTGTTGCAAATGTGACTACTTAAACCTAAACATTATTTCAGTGACGTTTCAGCGGAAGTTTTTGTTGTACTAGTTTATATATCAATTCTTATTTTACCGTTTTCACGTTATGACAGTCAGTGTTGGTTGAAACAACAATATTATTTAACAAAAGGCGAAGTGAATATCGGATAATAATAACAGAGACGAAGTTGAGGTTATTATTCCCGATATTCACTGCGCCTGAGGTGAATAATTGTTTTAGTATAAATACACAGGTGATTCTTTCAAAAAAAGAAAAAAAGAAGATAAAAGACACATTTTTTTCCGGTAACCGCAACAAAGCGGCTGGCCGCCATTTTGGATTATCGCTGGAGGTTATTATCTTGTGATAATCTGAGTTTCTCGACCAATCAGCGCGCGAGATTTTCAATAACCACCCGTGTATTTATACTAAATATGTATATTGTATATGTGGTCGGCATGACGTTATAGAGCAGTTTTCGTATGACTGTGAAAAGCTCACGGCACGAACACGGTCGTGACACGGCAAGGGATACGCCGGACCAATCACATTGCACGAGAATTTACTGTCCATCCAATCAAATACCCGGAACACGACATAAACACGGCGCGAACACGGTCACGCCAAGATCACGGCACCGTCAGACCAATCACATTGCCCGAGACAAAAATCAGCCAATTAAAATTCTAGAAAGCACATCTCAGAAGTGGGTTATTGGATTCACGCTAGTATTGATAATCAATGTATAATACCTACCTTACAAAACATTGACCTTGTCACGACCTGGTCATCTAAATCATCCTTCTCCACGCCTAAGACAGAAGTAGTGAACAAACTCTTTAAGGTTAATTGAATATTAGAATATCATACATTGCCACACCACTACCACACCAAAAACAAACTAGTCTTACTATTCTCATGAGGAAATACCATTTTAAAAAAGGAAGAAAATTCGCGAAGCATTATGGTAATGGCGTCAAATAATGCCATCATGCAAACGTCCTGTTACCACGATCACTATAGTCTCCTCCACAGCCCTAGCCGTCATTAGTCTCGGTCCCAGATCCTCACGAGTGGTGATTATAATTTTCCCTATCCGCTTATTGATGGGTTGCAAGCATTCCCAAGAGAGTGAAAAGACAAGCACGGCGGCCATTGTGGCACCTCTAACAATGGATGCTAATAAGAAATCTTATGTTAAATAACACCAACGCTCCCCCGAGAGACCGACCGCGATGACGTAACGTGCAATCGAAGAATACCTGCAAAGAGCTTGCCAGCGATGTACAGAAGGTTTTCGTCAGTGAGTTCTCTATCGTTACACAAAGTCCAGCGGTTGCTCAACGCTTCTGATAGCTGGGACCAAGTGACCTTCTCTGGAACGTCGAAGGGTTTACGATCCTTTAGCATTAGGAAGAAGAAGAAAAAAACAGTCATAATTGCACGTAGCAGTTTCTTTATCTCTAAGTAGTCCGCGGACTGCATATGTGACCGGCGACGTTCTTGGTATTTGTTTGTTTGTTTGTGTATATGTTTGTTTGTTTGTGTATATGTTTGTTTGTTTGTTTGTGTATATGTTTGTTTGTTTGTTTGTTTGTGTGTATGTATGTATGTTTGTTTGATTGTATGCATGTTTGTTTGTGGGTTGGTTATTTTTTGGCTGGCGGGTCGGCCCACGGAGGGTCAGGAAAAAACCTCTGCTCGCAGGGTAATAGCAGTATCAATCGTACAACTTGACTGCTCAAAAATGGACTACTCACCAACCGGACAACTTAGCGGTCAATTATAATAAACCTTTTTACTTTGGAGGTAAYATTTTCCCATTTCAGACCACGTGTCATTCCCTAGAGTATCATTTCTTTGTTTAACAGTTGCGCATGAGAAGATACATGACCATGAATGCAAATCAAACAAAGAATCTCATTCTCAAGAGAATGACACGTGGTCAAAAATTGAAAAATATTACGCCAAAAGTAGAGGTCTATTCAACGAATTTCGAGGGGAAAAATACAAAATACTACGCACCCACGTACCGTTGCCGAGGCCGATACCAGGGACATGTCTAAACATCTGGTTCACTTTTACATTTGGTACGAGTTTTACACTCAAGAACCATTTAGTAAACGTCTGATATAGACCCCTTGCTCTGAGTCCCGAGAGGAATTGTTCTGGGGGACAAAACAATGAATTTTTTGTAAAAGAAAATACGCTCTATTGTTTTGTTGCCCAGAACAATTAGGAAATCAATGCAAGGGGTTGATAGTAAATGTCTGGGCGTCGAGAGTAAGATATTTCTGTGTCTTACCGTCGCTGAAAATGAGTTGTCCCAGATGATGGTCGCTTCTGCGTCGGCAGACTGGTTGCCATGGACAGTGATAACAGTAGGAAAGGAAAGGGTCTGGAATAAACATCAATAGACGATTTACGCTTTCATAAATATCGCATTCCATTGTTAACTTTCAAAGCTTTGTATGTGTTTACTATAGCGCGCGTAATCAGTCTTGCCCCAAATTACCTCGCTTTCGAATCTGAGCATGCGATACTTTTGACAGCGATCGCGCATCTCGGAAAAAAATTATTGTCATCTCACGTGACGAGATGCACGCGACCTGATTTAGAGGGGTGGGGTAGGGTTACACGGAAAACAACTTCTCTGAAAGTGAAATCCTGAATTTTGTCCTCGGACACCCAGTATCGAGCATTCCAACAAGTGTCTGAGGGACACTATCTTAATCAATAACATCGGGACCCTATTTTGGACCATATTTCACCTTGTCCTTAATTAATGGCGTACAACTCCGTGGTTGAATAAACGCATTTTGATCTTCTACCTACCATGATTGTAAATCTTTCTCTCCCGATGTTGATCTCCGAGACGAATTGCAAACAGCGCTTCTCTTCACATACGCTCTGAAGACAAGAAGAGGTGAGTAAAGTTTCCATGTTTCGCTCATTCTTCCCATTTCACTGATTTTCTCTATTATACTCTAATGGTCTTTTTCCTGTCCCTTTTTCTCTTCCCTTTTCTTCTCTTCTCTCCCTTCCCTCCTTTTCTCTTCCATTCCATTCCCTTTTTCTTCCCTTAGCCTTTCATTCTCTTCTTCCATCTTCTTCCCTCTTCATCTCTTTCCCTTCCACATTTTTCCTTTTCTTTATATTTTGCTATTTTCTTTAGATTTTGCTATTTTCTTTTCCTTGCTTTGACAAACATTTCAAAGAGAATAAAGCAAACTCTGAGTACCTCTTCCTTCTTGCCTCCCTGTCGGTTGGCTCTTGTCACAGACTAAAAAAAAAAAAAAACAAATGCCAAAAACATCGTTACTTTTATTCTCATTGCATTATTCACTTAATAGCTATCTTCATAGAACTTGACCCAGACACCTAGCAGGGACCTCAGGGACTTTTGTTTGTTTGAACTCATGACAACCTAGAGTCCCGTTCGCACTTTCCTCTTTGGGTAGCATGTTGGTTTTGTAATTTTCCTTCCTGATTGATACCCAATAAATAAATAAATAATTAATAAATAATGAAAAATAAATAATTCGCAAAGTCTAGGTTTTTGGCTTTAAACAGTTTTCTTGGGTGTATTGGTCAAGTAATTATAAAATACATGTAAGAATCATATAATGGCAAACATAACTCACCAAATTCTTAAATTCTACGGTAAAGGTGTTGTTCTTCTGGCTGTATTCCATCGTCTGAGGAGTAAGTGTAAAGGTTAAGAAATATTCAAATGAAATAATGAAAGAGAAGGGAAATTAGAAGGAGGAGGAGGATGGGAGGTTAAGGAGAAAAGGGAGAAAAAAAGGAGGAGAGAAGAGAGAAATGACTGAGGGGGGGGGGGGGGGGGGGGGGGGGGGGGGATGTGGTCAAGATTTTGCACGTGCAAAGGAGTAATCAATGTTAAAATAATTTTTTATTTTATCAAAACAAGGGAGAATTTTCCACGTCAAAAACAATAATAAATCAGGTATTCAATAAAGTCATACCTTTTTGTTATTGAGGACGTTTTTGTCATTTGGTGGTGGGCTTCTAATAAGCAATAATAAAAGCATAAATTAAAGACAGGTCAGGTTCAAAATACATTTGCTTATCTTGTAGATTTAAACAAGCACCTCATTGTGGAATTTTTGAAAAAAGCATTTTTTCTGTTGGAGTCCAGAGGTTATTTCTACACTCTTTGGCTCTTGCTATTGTAATGGGAAGACACCCCTTCTCGCAGTGCTTACCTAAGCATAGACTGTGATATGCTTTATTTTGATTTAATTTCCTTTATGTTTTCATTGATCAATTACGATATAGCAGATAATAGAGATACGCTCTATTACCTTCAAACGATTGTTTCAAGTCGATACATTTGAAGAAACGAATTAGGAAGTGAAGTGTTATCACCAAAATGGTAACACTTTCCCCAAGCCTTTTCATTGGTTGAGCTGTGCATTCTCATTCACTTTGATTGGTGACTTTGCCATTTCAGTCACATGAAATCTAATTTTCAGTGATGGCTATATTTTGTCATTCATATTTTCAAGAGTTTTTTATTTTTGATATTTTTTTTACAGTGGAACTACACGAACCAATGCCACCTAGACAAATGTTCATACAAAATAGCCAATCATGATTGAATACTTAAACAATAGAATCTGCGATTGTTGGAAGTAACAAAAGGTGATTCAGAAAAATTTCATTTAAAGTTTGTTGGGGTGGCCTAGGTTGGTAAAGTCACACTGTAATGCTGAAAAAAACATACATTTTTCCTTTTGAATCGTACAATGAACGCACATATTTTTCTCTGCAAGAGAAACAGAAGAAAAGTTGTCAGTCTCATCTGTTAATTAGCATCGGAACAAGATAGCACAGCACATGCGCAGAGCACAGCACAGCACAGCACAGCACAGCACAGCACAGCACAGCACAGCACAGCATCTAGAGCATAATGTTTGTCATGCCACAATATCACTAACACAGAATGACTGAAAAGATCCAGGAAAAACCCTTTGCTGAAGTGAAGAATAGATCTACTTACGAAACAAGGCTACAAATTACTTCTGGTGGGTGAATATGGGCATTCAGCCTTCCACCAATCAAATGCCTGGTAATTAAAGCAAAAAAAAGATACTCATTCATCTTATAAGGTTAAAAAGGAGCTATGCTCCAAAAACGTTAACAATTACTTTAACGGTTAACATTTTACTTGCTTTATATAAAGAGATAATACATAATACATAATATTTCTATAAAAGGTATTTAGTTTGTAAAATTCAAAAATGCCAATCAAAAAGTCATGATTGGAGATAATTTAACTGTTTAGACACTACTTCATTGGTTCAGCCTTGTTTGATTTACTACACCATTATTGTTGAAGTGCTACCTGTGAAGTTTGATGTCTTTTTTGCCGACTAGCATTTTAAGGACAGGCAATCAAAGAACCGCAATAAAAAGACAATATTTTGAGAGAGATTTTGGACTGAATTAAAGATTTTAGAGGATTAGAGGATTTAATCTTTAATTTTAAGTTCAGTCTATAATCAACCTCGAGATATTGGTCTTTTCTTACTGCAGTCCTTTGATTGACGGTCATTAAAATGGTAGTCGGTGAAGGAGACACCAACTTTGTGGGTTGCACTTGAACAATAATCATGGTAAATAATAGTAATGTCCTCACCTCAAAGTGGTGCCAAATTTTGTATTGGTTTTCAATACTTGAGGTGAATGTTTCTCGATCACAAAACACCTTAAAAAAACAGAATAAAATAAGCAATTATACCAAATAAGATGAGAACAAATCTTCCTAGCAGGGTTTATGCTGGTGGGTTTAAAAGTTAATTGCTTGCCCTGGGTATGGTATTTGACTTTGTTTTATTAATCGAGGGTAGCGTAGCAGTAGCAAACTCCCCTCACACCTCTGGAGTCTCCGGTTTTAAATTCCTGGATTCAGCAACACATTGCTCAATAAAAGTTTGTCAAGGGATTTTTTGGAGTTTTTGTCCTAAGAGCTGAAAAAATTGACACTCTAATTCTAATCCAGTGTCAGTTAACTGTGCCCTGACTTACATTAGCAAAGATAATATGGATGTGATGAAATTAAATGTTGGCATTGCGATGGTTTTCTAATTTGACAAGCAACAAGAGCGGATCCAGGGTTTTTTTTGAAGGGGGGTCTCAGGGGTAAATTTTGTGGGCAAAGGAATCCCAGTCCCATTTTTACCACAAGAAGCCCATTTGACCTCAGGAATGACAGGGGGGTCGCGATCCCCCCGACCCTCCCCCTGGATCCACCCTTGAGCAATGTAATTGGAGGATACAGCACACCTTGTTTTTTGGTTCAGAATTGAAGTCACTTGCATACACAAGACATTTAATAAAATATGTTAAATGTTAGGATTACTTGTTTAGAAAGTGTGACAGCATGGTTCTTGAAGTTGTTTTCAATTTTTCCATTCTTTCGACCTCTCCCTTATCTTGAGCTAAAGCTGGGCGAAACATGCTGTCCAACTAGAAAACAAAATAGACAGGCATTTTAAAAACTTGCACTGATATGATAGTCTTAACCAAAGTTGGAATAGATAGTGACTAGCATTCAGTTACTAGTTGGGACTGCATGGGTGTGGACAATTTCTGGAACTACACAATAATAATTTATCCAATAAGTTTTAAAAATACATGAGCAGATTCAGGAAGGGTTAAATATAATAAAAAATATGATATGTGGGAACATTGACAGTATACCTTTATTATATGTTGATAAAGCCGGCAGAGTAGGTCAGCATGTAGTTCACACCTGAAAATAATTGGTCAAATTATGTACCCTACCTCCATAGCTCAAGTAACAATTTAAAAAATTGAGTGCAGCACTTTTGAGCCTTATACATAAAAGATTTGAAAATCTCCTGTTATTTCTCTTTCCCCTCAATGAATTTTTTTCCCTTTTCTTTTCGAGAGCAGCCATGTTTGTTTTAGCTCCAAAACTAGCCAAAAATATTGCTTTTTGCTTGCCTTTGTCTTTAATCTTGTTTGCCTCAGAGTAATGATTGAGTCTTTCCACATAATTAGCCCAGTCTTCAGTTTCTATGTACTCGTCAATTTTTCCGAACATTGCCATGGTGGATATTGCTCTCGTTAGCCGTCTCGGTGGCAATAATTCCTCCTATGGTTCTTCCTGACTTGAAATGTTTTTCCTTGTCACCAATATACTACGCTTTGCAGTTAAGTTTGGCGTGACCGAAGTTTTGTCACGTAGTTTTGACGTCTATACTATGATGTTACCAGGGGCAACGTTTCAATGTTGCCGTGTCATTGTTGCGTATCGTCGCGTATCATGTATAGGATAAATACTAAAGGAAGAACTTTTATAAAAGGTCAATCACTGAGTTATGATATCAGAAGATCAATTATTGATGAAATAGTCCGAAATGGAGGCGACCCAGTGACTGGTTATTTTCCTGGACATTTTTCTGACGTTGCGAATACATTCAAAGTAAGCCGTGATACAGTCAAGAACATTTGGAAGCGTTTGTACAACGACGGTACAATTGAAACAAAGAAAAACATCGGAGGAGGAAATCCTTCAAGTTTGACTCAAGGAGATTTGGAGCTTGTCGAAGTTTTAAAGAACGAGAGACCTACCTGTTCCCTAAAAGAAATCCACGAAAAGCTTGAGGAATTTGGTAACATTCCTAACGGAACGTCTCACTCGGCAATTTCCCGCGCATTGAAAGAGCGCATGYTGTCAGGCAAACAGTATTCCCGCAAAAAAGTCTCTACTATAGCACAGGAAAGATTCACYGTTGAAAACATCGCGTATACTCAAATGTTTATTGATTACCTTTATAATAAAGACCCATTCAAACTAAAATTCTTTGATGAATGTGGACTGAAAACAGCGTCGCATGGGAAGCGTTTGTATGGGCACTCGCCGGTTGGGGAGAGGTGTGTAGAATTAATGCGCTATCATCAATCTCCAAACATTACTGTAAATCTATTGGCCGGTTTAAATGGCATAGAATATATGAACACCGTCCATGGCCCATCGGATACTTTGATTTTTCTCGATTTTTTTGATCAGGCTGGCAAAGCAGCTAACATTGACACAGGAAGACCTGCTCTAGAAGTCGGTGATGTAATTGTAATGGATAATTGCCCATTTCATCACAATGCTGGCGGCGATATTTTACAAGAATGGCTTGATGATCGCAATATCGAGCTTGTATATACACCAACTTATTCCCCAGATTTTAATCCTGTAGAACTTGTATTCAATAAAATGAGAACTGTCATGAATTATGATTTACAGGATGTAGTGGCCTATAACATTGAACTTGCTGCGATTGAAGCGTTCAAACAGGTTACATCTGGGGACATGTACAATTTTTACAGATGTACAAATTATTTAGACGTATAGGAAATTCATTGTAGTGATTTAGAGTGGTTTTTGAAGAGAACCACCAATAAAAGCATTGTCGCGACACCGGCATCTTGAAAGCGATCAATGTAAATTTCATATTACCATGATTATATTTACATAAGGAATAGCAAATAAATTGTCGTATTTGTTTCAATTATTTTCTATCTTATTTGTGATTGTAAAAGGCGAGATAGTACTCCGTATCATACAGTTAATAGCCGAGCAGCGCAGTTTATTAGTCAGTCCAAGTCACTCAGTCTGTACAATGAATTTTAATTTCATGATTTTCGGCATATAGAGCTTTAAAGTACAAATACTTTTAATTTCAAAACACAACAAAGGGAATAAAGCTCCTTACTTTGAATACTATACAAAGTTTGTGAATATTCATCTGAGTTGTTAGATCACTTTACATAATTTGTATAATTGCAACAATATAAATAAATTGTAAACGTATTCTAATTTATTATTAAAATGAAATCAAAATAATTGTTGAAACGAACGAGTCTCATTGTTTTTAAAGTGCATGACTATTGACTCGTATCATGCATTTGACTAATGTTTTGGCAACTAGTCCTTGTCCTTGTTGAACTGATTTTGGAGTGAAACGGCAAGCTTGAAATCGCTTTCTTCAGTCAGTGCTTGACTGGACCCAGAGTTGAAAGCGGTGGTCATTGTACTAGTAGAAGTGTTGGTACATGTATAATTGCGTTTAGGGAAGCGAATTGCATAGTCTTCTTCTAAAATTCTCTTCTTAGGATTGACACACGTGTCAGACTTTTTCTTCATTTTCATTTCGTGTTCACGAATGGCATCTCTCAACAGCTGGCTCACACAATTTCTTGGAGGTAGTTTTCCACTACACTTTTTCTGTAAAAGAGCTACATGTTGATTTAGGAGTGCCCAGTTTTTAACTCCATTTACTATATATAAATCAGGGTCTGTGGAAATGATATCTCCCTCAATCCTCTTTGCAAATGAATCTTCGACTGCTTTATACGATCTAAATTTATTCTGGTAATCCGTTTCAAGTAAAGCAAGTTCTGCTTTCTTTTTTTCGACTGTCTGGGCAAGACTGCGACGTGTTGCTTTTTCTTCGGGGTGTTTGTCAATTAAACCACATAGCATAACCGATGTGCATGATTCTCCATCACAAATTCGTCTATTATGTCCAGTTTTAAAATGACATTTTCCACAAATAGTTAGCATACCAGAATTAAGAACTTCTGCTTTTGCAAGTTGTCGTTCAAACGTGTCTTTACTTGCTTTTGCATTGTTTAATTCTGTTTTCACTTTAGCGATATTGTCCCGTTTTCGTTGCAGCATTCTTTCCACAGGACTATCGTTATTACTAGCAATTCCTTTTTCTTCAGAAGTTCTAGAAGCTGTTTGTTTTTCTGTAAGTGTGAACAATTCCCTTTTCGAAGTACTAGCTCCATTGTTTGATATGGCACTTGTAGATTCACGACGTCTCACGATAATTTCTGGTGTGGATTGTGGTTGCCATTCAATCTTGATAGTTAATCTTCTAAAAGTAGCTCCTTGCACGATACTAGCACATCGTAAAGCATCACAAAGTGTATCTCCAGCACGCAGGTTTACAAAWGTCTGCTCGTCGTCCCTGTATTTTATCCTGAGCTCTGTGTCAGGAATGAATTCCAAACAGGCAATTTTAGCTCTCACGGCTTTCATTAGATCTTCAAATGATGAAAGTTGTGATTCTTCGATGGACATTATTTCGCATCGGTCTTCTTGAAATGAAATGTTATAAAAAACTTTAAGTTGAATCATATTGTGGGCACCRAAATACKTATAAGTATTCTAAAATCAAGAAAATAGACAGTAGCTCTCGAAGTCGTGGATACCTCACAAGATGTCGGCACGCTTATGGGTTTCCCGCCTTTGGACACATGACGCGGCAACCTTGAAACGTTGCCCCTGGTAACATCATAGTATAGACGTCAAAACTACGTGACAAAACTTCGGTCACACCAAACTTAACTGCAAAGCGTAGTAATAAAGTAGCCCTCGACTACAGTATAATCTAGTACCTTATTCTTGAACAAACTCAAGTTCACTGTCAAAAAAGCATGGCTGCTCTCGAGTCCCGCGCTCCAGATTGTCACGAAACTCGCGCCCAGGTTAATTACTACGCAAGGTGAATGTTGCAGTGAACAATACTTACATGGGCTGTAGGTTATCAAGGGGTGGTGGTGTAGGCCACCCAGAAAGTGACCTCTGCTGTTGACCTGTCCACTTGCTTATTTGAGCAATGATGATATTTTGTGCTACCTGCAGCTGTTTCAAATGACCTGATAATCTGTTGTACAAAGCCTTTAATAAAAATAAAAATAGGACTTATTACATCATAGAAGATATATTTAGGAACCAAACAGTTTCTGTCAAGGAGGTGGAGGAGAGGTGGGGGGGGGGGGGGGGGGGGGGGGGGGGGGGGGGGGGGGGTTGGGTCAATAGGATTCTGCTAGTAACCCATAACAAATCCTGGACCCCTCTATTCCATACTGCCTATTATAAAAGTGCTGTGTTGACTCATATTGCCAGGAATTGTTGGTGGCCGCTTCAGTGTCACTTTAGCCTAATCAATTCACAAATACTGAATCAGATATGATTCTACTTTCCTAGTTACTGTTGCTACATCGAACAAGCAAAAAAAATTGACACAGATTTCCAAAAATTCTGTCTTAGAATGAATGCATTCTAGAGGTTAACTAAGAAAGAAATCAATAATTACTAAAAAAGCATCTGAACTTAAAAAAAGTTTGTTTGTCAGACATTCTAATATTCCATTAGGAAGACTCCCCATTGTTCAGTTATTACTCAAGCAAAGTTGGCATCAGTTAATGAGCCATGGCAATGTTGGTTTGAATGATAGATTCCAACATGCATGGCAGAAGCGCTTGAGAAAAAATTCTTTGGGGTTAAACAAAGGTTTTTATTGTCATGAGAATAAACATGGCTGCCATGTGATAATGTATCAATTATTTTCAATGCTGGTTGATATTACTTATCCCCCCATCAATTTTGCAAATAAATCGGACATTGCTGCCATTCAATTTTTTACTGTAACCTAGGGGAATAACTATAACCTAGGGGAATAAGCTTGAGCTGTATTATGACTGTAATGCATACCAGTCTTTTGGTCACTGTAAGCTCATTTCCTTTTTCTGTTAATTCTGCCTGATTAGCTTTTATCCGTTGTTCAATCTGTTTCACCTGTGCATCAAAAAGAGAACCTAGATTAGTCAAACAGCTACTTTAAAATTACACTCATTATTATACAACTGAAAAAAAACTTAATATATTATGAAACCTAGCAGTTCAAAATACTCCGACAGTAAGATATATATATATATATTTAGCAATAATATCGGGGAATATTTACTGAGACATGAGTCTTCGAGCGGCGAGGTAAATATTCTCCATATTCACTGAGCCTGAGGCGAATAATTGTTTTAGCATATACCAACTTGTGTACAGGGTGACTTATTTTTAAATATACAATAATTCAATAAAAACAAACAGAAAATTTTAGTTTGCGTGACAAATTCACGCAAAACTTTTAGCAAAACTCTTAACAAAACTTTTAGCAAAACTTTTATGCTATACTTCGTTGCCTTTTCAGTATTGATAGGAATGGCATTTACCTTCATTTTTTCAATTTCCTCATCAGAAATTGTAGCAAAACGATTGCCGGCAGATGCCATTTTGTTGCCGGCTCAATATTCCGAGATTCAGAGGTGAATATCGTACAATATTACAACACTTATTTCAATAAAGTAAGTCAACTGAAAAGCTATAAAGCTGAGGCCTACAAGGATTATGGTTAGATTCATTTTATACGTTCAACCGCTTGATAACTGTTCATAGGACTTGCGAATCTTTTGCTGGTTACAGTCTCACCTCTTCTGAGCATCATCGAGCTGCAGTTTGTATTAAAAAAGGTTCGTATATATATACGCTTTTTTGATATGAAAAGTTTTCCATAATGCTCAGTGATCTCAGCTTTCTAGGTTTTTGGTGACTAACTTTATTGAAATAAGTGTATACTGTAACATCTTAACACAATAATTATAAAGCCTATACCTGTTCATTTTCTTTGTCACTAGGACTAGTCCTCTTAGTAAACTGTTTCTTATAAGCTTCAAGTTTACCTTAAAGGGAAATAATATGATAAATTTAAACAAATGAAAATAAAGAATTGCTAAAGAATTCATGTCCAATATTAAATTCTTACAAATTGTGATATTTTCACTACACCCAGCTAATCTGGAATTAGTGACGTAGAAATGATGTCACAGCAAAACTGAAGTACATGTGTTGCAAAGCCTGTGAAAATTAACCAGTGAAAAATAAAAACTTGCCCACCATTGCCAAAAAATATGTAACTCATGAATCATCGAGTCACTTATCAAGCTCGTGTATTAGCATAATTTTTTTTTCATCTGATGGCCTGGAAATCCATCATTTCAAGAAAAAAACACCTCTTTCTGTATTCTGTATTTCTGTATTCTGATTGACCATATTTTTTCTCGGGTCAACTGCATGGATAATGTGTATGGAATAGTAAAATTTAGGCCCAATAAACACAGTATGTTTTGGAGGCCCCAAATTAGTGTTTGTATCATACAGTACCATTACAGGCATGTGTCTATAGAAACCCACAAGGCCATGACTACAATAGCTATTTATAAGCAAGTGCCAATAATATACACATAACCTGTATTAAACTGAATTCAAGTGACAATTTTTTATTCAAATATTATTCATGTTTTTTCAACTTACTTATTTCGTTACTTTTTTCTGTAAATAGAATAATGTACTGCTCCTTCAGCTGTTCTACTATCTTTGAAAGCTCTTCATTTTCCTACCATAAATTAAAGTGAGTCTTGAGCATGTCATTGTACATAATTGAATGGTATTGTATTGTATGATATTGTATTGTATTGCATGGAAGGGCAAGGCAGGGCAGGGCAGGGCATCAAGGGCGGATCCAGGGGGGCAAAGGGGGGCTGAAGCCCCCCTTCATCAGCAAAAGATGATGCTTTTTTATATGGTTTTCCGTTGTGTTGAAAGAAGAAACTCAATTAGCCCTCCCCCCCAAAACTCAATTAGCCCCCCCTAAACTTTTTTCTGGATCCGCCCTTGGGCATGGTATTCCATATTATCCCATCGATATCTCTTCAAAGCATCTAAATAAATGGATTATAAATGTATTAGTTATCAGCTTTCAGGTGATGGTTCAGAAAAATACCTGGCTTTCTTTAGAAAGAACTTCAAGATCTTTCATAATATCTTCTATTGGATCATTTGAATAATTAATCCCCTGGTCCATGGCATCTTCATCTGCATCTACTGCTTCTGCAATATTTCTCCCTGCTGCTTCCTAAGAAAGTTCCAATAAAATTCTTAAATCAGTCAGATTCAAATCTTTTCATAATACTGTCAATAAAATTATTTTTAAGGGTAGCAGGGTGCACTTGTGTGTGATGTTCATGTTGTTGTTGTTGTTGTTGTTGTTGTTGTAGAAGTAGAAGCAGAAGCAGAAGTAGAAGTAGAAGTAGAAGTAGAAGTAGGAGAAGTAGAGGAAGAAGTAGAGGAAGTAGTGAAAGTAGTGAAAGTATTAGTAGCAGTAGTAGCAGTGGTAACAGTGGTAGTGGTGGTAGCAGTGGTAAGGTGGTAGTGGTGGTAGTGGTGGTAGCGGTGGTAGTGGTGGTAGCAGTGGTAAGGTGGTAGTGGTGGTAGTGGTGGTAGCAGTGGTAAGGTGGTAGTGGTGGTAGTGGTGGTAGCGGTGGTAGTAGTAGGTAGTAAACTTTACTTGACACATATGCAATGCAAATATACAGATATTTATCAGTAGTTTTTCTCATTTTATCATTTTAGTGCATGAGCTGTTTCTGTGACTTCTATGACTTCTAAGCATATGAAAATGGATCATCATAATAACATTTTATAATGTCCAATACATATTACTTGATAATTTAAATTATGAACTACTGTACTGTGTTTTCACTTAATAGTTGTTATCATTATAAATTATCATAGTACTTACTGTAGTAAATTTTTCAACCAGACTGATCATGAACTTGTTGAGCTCTTGCAAAGCCAGGACAAAATTGATTGGATGTTCTTGGTATTTACCCTAATATAAAAAGGCACTTTTTTGTAAATATAATGTAGTCATCTACAAATAACTACTGTAAAATAACAAGAATTATATAAAGGATGGTTATGAAGAGAATTCTCTTGATAAGTATCAGATAGGAATAGGTAGGACTGGTAGGTAGGAATGGTAGGTAGGTATATAGGTAGGTAGGTCGGTAGGTAGGTCGGTAGGTAGGTCGGTAGGTAGGTCAGTAGGTAGGTCGGTAGGTAGGTATATAGGTAGGT